CCACAATGCCTGGCCATTTTTTGGTTGCAGCCGTCATTGTTGTTTGGCGGGTCCGGGCTGGGGATTCAAACCCGCCACCTTAGGTGTATGTGGCTGGCTCCTTAGCCGCTTGAGCCACAGGCACCGAGCCATATTGTTCTATTCTTTAGGCATTTAATATTCCTGGAATTGATTTTTGTGAATGGTAGGAGGTGAGGTTCTAACTATATTTTTTTCCAGGCAGAGAGCCAGTTTATTTTGATCATACTTTAGCACTGAATTAAAATCCTCCTCTGTCATGTATTAGCTTTACACATACATGTGAATGTGCACACTTACTTATTTCTGGGCTCCTTCTTCTTTCCAATGAAAACTTCAACCTGAGCTTAAGACCATTGGATCTTCATTACGTAACTTTGTGGTATGTAGAACCACAGAGGCCAGTTCTTACATCTATTTTTCCCCTCTAAATATTATTTCTGGCTGGGTGCCCATAGTTCAGTGGTTAGGGTGCCACGTGCACAGGGGCTGGTGGGTCTGAACCCAGCCTGTGCCTGCTAAACAAAACAAACAAACAAACAAAAATAGCCATTGTGGTGGGTGCCTATAGTCCCAGCTACTAGGGAGGCTGAAGTAAGAGAATTGCTTGAGCCCTAGAGTTTGAGGTTGCTGTGAGTTATGACACCATAGCACTCTACAGAGGGCAACAAAGTGAGATTCTGTCTCAGAAAAAGAAAATTATTTCTTGCAATTTCAGACATTTCTCCCCTCTTATTCATTCTTAGTTTCCCAAATAAAAGTAAGGAAGGCCTCTCTTATTCCCAAACTGGGTTTTCCCTTTGTGCTGCTGACTAGGATTATCATTAGGTACTGGTTGTGGGATCTTTCCTTCCTGCCAGTCTTTATGCCAATGCGGTCTTTATACCCATGCCATATTCTGGCCCTAACATAATGCTTGGCACATGGCTGGTGCTTATGAGTTATTGGCTGATTTGAATGAACACATGAATGATGTAGATTGCTTTCTTTCTTTCTTTTTTTTTTTTTTTTTGAGATAGAATCTCACTATGTCACCCTGAGTAGAGTGCGATGGCATCACAGCTCACAGCAACCTCAAACTCTTGGGCTTAAGCGATTCTCTTCCCTCGGCCTCCCAAGTAGCTGGGACTACAGGTGCCCGCCACAATGCTCGGCTATTTTTTGGTTGCAGTTGTCATTGTTGTTTAGCAGGTCCGGGCTGGGTTAGAACCCACCAGCCTCGGTGTATGTGGCCTGTACCCTACTCATTGAGCTATGGGCACTGAGCCTGGATTGCTTTCTTTTAAACATTAATTTTATTTTTTGTGTTGTTTTGAGTACAAGATAGTCAGAGGTTGGTTTAGTCATTGCCAAGGTGTGGACTTGGGACAGTTGCTTCTCTCTTCTGTGTCAGTTTTCTTACCTACAACACTAAGAACTGAGTCTTTATACCAATGCAGTCATAAAATATAATTTTACATATTTTTTAAATGCAGGAAGGTACCCACCAAGGTAAATGTGCCAAGGGTCCATGAAAGTCGTAATGTGGCCCTGTTAAACACAACACAAACTAGTGAAGGAAATAACTGGCATCAAGAGCTTAATAGGCCTGAGCAGAGTTGAAATACCCACTTGACTGGGTATTGCCAAAAATAAGGACATACAGGCCAGGTGTGGTGGATCATGCCTGTAATCCTAACACTCTGGAAGGTGGGAGGATAGCTTAAGGTCAGAGGTTCAAGACCAGTCTGAGTAGAACAAGACCCTATCCCTACTAAAAATAGAAAAAATTAGCTGGTGTTGTAGAAGGTGTCTGTAGTCCCAGCTGCTTGGGAGGCAGAGGCAAGAGGATCACTTGAACCCAGGAATTTGAGGTTGTAGAGAGCTAATAATGGTGACATGGTACTCTAACTAGGGTGACAGAGTGAGACTCTGTCAGGAAGGAAGGAAGGAAACACAGCCAGGCACGGTGGCTCACACCTGTAATCCCAGCACTATGGGAGGCTGAGGAGGGAGAATTGCTTGAGTTCAGGAGTTTGAGACTTTCCTGAGTGAGACTGAGACCCTGACTCCTTAAAAAATGGGAAAACCCAGCCAGGCACTGTGGTGAGCTCCTATAATCCCAGGGGCTCCTGGAGGCTGAGGCAGTGGGATGCCCACAGCCTGAGTCTGAGGTTGCAGTGAGCTATGATGCCATTGCACTCTGTTCAGGGCACAGGGTGGGACTCCGTCTCAACAACAACAACAAAAACTCAAGGAAATAAAAATAAAAAATAAGCAAGGAAATTAAAAAAAAAAAGGAAAAATAAATAAACTGAAGATGGCTGTAGGAGACTCCCTGTCCTCTGGGATGTTCCCTGAGGAAACCCAGGGTTTTTTTTTTGTTTGTTTTTTAGAGACAGAGTCTCATTTTATCACCCTCAGTAGAGTGCTGTGGTGTCACAGCTCACAGCAACCTCCAACTCCTGGGCTTAGGCGATTCTCTTGCTTCAGCCTCCTGAGTAGCTGGAACTACAGGCGTCTACCACAACACCCGGCTATTTTTTTGTTGCAGTTTGGCCAGGACCAGGTTAGAACTCGCCACCCTCAGTATATGGGGTGGCGTCCTACCCACTGAGCCACAGGCACCGCCCTGGAAACTCAGTTTTGAGTAGACACAATGGAGCAGGAAAGTACAACAGCCAGATAGACCCCGCGTCCAGGACTGGCTGTACCTGCTACCTGTGGGCTAGCCACTTAACCTCTGGGAGCCTCCTTTCCTTATTTGGGAAACAGGAATAACATCCCATTTACAGGACTGCTGGTCATCTAAGATATCATCCAACATGTGTTTGTTAACCACCAGCTGTATTCCAGGCACTCTTCTGGGTGTTGAATTCCTATAAGAGTACCCCAGCACACCAGTCCAGTGGCTGGCACACAGTAGGTTCTGATTAAACGTTTGTTGAATGAATGTTTGGAAAGCAGGTCGGAGGGAGTGAGTGCCACCAATACATCAGTGAATACATACTGTGTGTGTATGTATAAAATGATAAACAGGAACATATCAAATGTGAAATGTCATTACAAAGAAAGTAAGGTGCCAGGAATTAAAAGAACGGGACACTGTGACAGAAAAAATGACAGGGGCTGGAGCGCAGGACAGGAGCTCAGAGGCTGAGGCAGGAGTGAGGGGAGGGTGACAGGTAGAGGTCCGTCCGCCCCCACCCCCAGCATCCCCAGCCGGTGTCCTTGCGTGTTGCAGGCATCCAGCCGGCGCTCTGGAGCAGGGAGGACGTGGGGCACTGGCTGCGCTGGGCCGAGCGGGAGTACTCTCTGCAGCGCACCTGGGAGCAGGAGTTTGCGATGAACGGCCGCGCCCTCTGCATCCTCACCAAGGACGACTTCCGGCGCCGTGCGCCAGGTTCAGGTCAGGGAAACTCGCTGGCCTTCCTCCAAACGTTTCTTTCTTTCTTTTTTTTTTTTTTTTTTGCAGATTTTGGCCAGGGCTAGGTTTGAACCTGCCACCTCTGGCATATGGTGCTGGTGCCCTACTCCTTTAAGCCACAGGTGCCACCCCCCCACCAAACGTTTCAATGGGAGCCGGGGTAGGCCAGTGGGGGTGCAGGGGTGGGGAGATCGCGGGGTCTTTCCTGGGGAATGGTGCTCACTGCCCAGCCCCTCCCTCTAAATGTTTGCCAGTACTTCCTAGCTGGAGCAGGCCTTGAGCAGGCCTTGAGCAAAGGTGTGGGTTTGGCCGCTTGTTTTCAGAGCTGTGGGGGCCTGTTCTGCGCTCTCACCGCCCCCTCCCCTTACCTTCGGCCCTTGTTTCCTCTCCTGTTTCCACCCTTTCACCTCCCAAGCCCCCAACATCTATTAAAAACAACAGCTAGAGAAATATCCAAATTTCATTCACACTGAGGCTTACGAAATAGCAAAAGCCTTAACTCCCAACTGAGTTTTGATTTTAACCAGAAACTAGGTCTGAGGCCAGAGGGATGCATGTCTAGTGATGGTGTGTCAGGCAGCGCAGAGTCGGGTGAGGGGTTTAAGTGGTGGTGGCAGTGGAGCCTTTCTGGAATCTCTGGCATCACATCTGATTCTCTCTTCACCTGTTTTCAGGATGCTTTTCATGTTTGCTGATTTGGTGGGGTTTTTTTTTAGACAGACAGTGTCTCACTTCGTCACCCTGGGTAGAGTGCTGTGACATCATAGCTCACAGCAACCTCAGACTTTGGGGCTTAAGTGATTCTCTTGCCTCAGCCTCCCAAGTAGCTAGGACTACAGGCACCTGCCACAACGCCTGGCTATTTTTTTGTTGCAGTTGTCATTGTTGTTTAGCAGGCCTGGGCTGTGTTCAAACCCGCCAGTGGCTGGTGCCCTACCCACTGAGCTATGGGTGCTGCCTCTTTCTCTTAAAAATACATTCATGTTTTCTGTAGCCCTTCTTTTGGTCAAACAAACCTGTGGTGTTTGTGGCAAAAAGAATTTCTTTAAATATTCTCTTTTTTCTTTTTTCTTTTTTTTGAGACAGAGCCTCAAGTTGTCCCCCTGGGTAGAGTGCTATGGCATCACAGCTCACAGCAACCTCCAACTCCTGGGCTCAAGTGAGTCTTCTGCCTTGGCCTCCCAAGTAGCTGGGACTACAGGCGCCCTCCACACCACCTGGCTATTTTTTTTCGGTTGCAGCCATCATTGTTGTTTTCATCTACTGACCTCTATCCTACTCCTTTTTTTTTTTTGAGACAGAGCCTCAAGCTATCCCCCTGGGTAGAGTGCCATGGCATCATAGCTCCAACTCCTGGGCTCAAGCAAGTCTCCTGCCTTCGCCTCCCAAGTAGCTGGGACCACAGGCGTCTGCCACAGCGCCTGGCTATTTTTTGGTTGCAGCCATCATTGTTGTTTGGTGGGTCCAGGCTGGATTTGAGCCCACCACCTTAGGTGTATGTGGCTGGTGCCTTACCCACTTGAACCACAGGCTCTGAGCCCTGTTTTTTTCTTAATACACCCGCAGCTAGTCTCATGTCACATCCCAAGTCCTGTCACTCACTTTTCCCTAGGAGCCTCCTCCAGTGGCTATTGGGACTTTAGTCCCTTTAGTCCTTGGATTTAAGAGCTTTGGGTCATGGTGGGACAGAAAGGCAAGGCTTCAGGTGTCCCCCACAGCTGTGACTGTCCTGCACAGAGACAAAGCTGGGGAGCAGGTGAGCTGGGTCTGGTCCCCATCATGCCCATGTCTATCTCTCCTGCTCCCCATTAGCCCCCCTGGTCTTCGAGAGGCTACCACCTTACCCCTCTGTCGGCCTGGGTTTCCCAAGATGGCTGTCCGCCCAAGGATTCCCACTCTTTCCAGCCCTACCTTTGGCACTTTAGCCCAAAGGTGTAAGTCAGAGATTTCTGGGACCATTGACAGGGCCCATTTCTGCATTATAGGCAGAGGCTAGGACTGTTTTGCTCCTTAGAAAGCAGGGGCAATCGTTTAATGAAGCTGGGAATCCCATGAGCCTTTGAAGAACTGTTGATGTCCTTGGGGACATGAAGTACAGTTACACAGCTCTGTATGATGGCTCATGCCTATAATCCTCGCACTCTGGGAGGCCCAGATGGGTGGATTGCTTGAGCTCACAAGTTTGATACCAGCCTGAGCAAAAGCCAGACCTTATCTCTACTAAAAATAAAAAAAACTGATTGCTTGAGCCCGAGTTGGAGGTCACTGTGAGCCATGGTGTCACAGCACTCTACCCAGGGCAACAGCTTGCGACTCTGACTCAAAAAAAGAAAAGAAAAAGAAAAGAAATACAGTTGCACATGTTGTGCACTGCATACAGGCCCTCAACCTGGGGTGTGTGGGAGCTGAGTAGCAACTTGACCTTGTAAACTGCATGGGCACCCAGCAGCAGGAAGAGATGGCTTTTTAAAATGTACCCACCAGGAGGCGACGGTGACCCTGCCCATCACCAGCGCCAGCCTCCTGTCAGCTGCAGCAGGAGCCCTGGCTGCATCAGCACAAGTGTATGCCCGCCCTCACCCTGAGAGGCAGGTGACTTGCACTGGACGGAGGCTGGCCCTCCCCTCCCAGCCTGGTCAGCAGCCTGCCCTCCATGCACCCACACAGGTGACGTGCTGTATGAGCTGCTCCAGTACATCAAGACCCAGCGGCGCTCCCTGGTGTGTGGGCCCTTTTATGGAGAGGCCTCCTGGCAGAAGATGTTCACTCAGCTCCACTCCCATCCCCTGGAAGGTGAGGAAACTCTTCATGGAGCTCTGAGCCCCGCAAATCCCCGCATTGAGAGGGCAGGGCTTGGCTTCCTCTCGGTGAAGCAGTGACAGAGGGCTGGCATGGGCTGAGCTCCCCTTCCTCCCAGCTCTGCCCCAGGCCCTCTCTTCCCACACTGAAGACAGTGCCCCAGCATTCAGGTGAGGGTCCTGTCCCCTGCCCATTTCTCTGCTCTCCTGTCCAGCAAACAGTTGTTTGTATCGTGTCCCAGCTCCCTCTCCTGATCTCTCCATGGAAACCATTCTTGTCAGGGTCTTCAGGGACATGAACATAGGATTGTCCATGTCCCCACTCTCAGTCCTTATTCACTATGACCTCTCACAGTCTTTGACTTAGTGGGCCATTTCTCCTACCCCCGAAACTTTCTTCCCTTGGCTTCCAGGATACTCCACTCATCTCATTTTCCTCTAGCCGCTGCTCTTCCCTTCTCAATCTCCTTTTCTGATTTTCCTCCCACTTCTACTTATCGGGGAAAAGGCCAAGAGGCCTCTCCTATTCTCTATCTCATCTGGTCCTGGTGTTAACACCATGTGATGCCAATGATGCCCATATATGTCTCAACTTCTCCAAATTCCAGATGTGCACACCATACTACCTGCTTCACATTTCCACTGGGGGACCCCAACTGCTCTAAACCAAATGGTCCACTCCTCTCCTTGTTTCCCCATCCCAGCAAACCCCGATTCCATCCTTCTAGTTGCTCAAGCCAAGGCAGTAGACGTCATCTTTCATTCTGCTCCTTCTCCCTTACCCTCATCTCAATTGTCCACAAATCCTTTTGGCTCTACCTTCAAAATCATTCACAATCCAGCCTCTTCTGCTCCTCCACTAATGTCCCTGGTCCAGCCCCCATCACCTCTGTAGAACCTCCTCACTGGTCTACTCACTTCTGCTCTTGACCTTCTGTGATCTCTTCTCAACAGAGCAGCCAGAGACATTCTTAAGTCAGGTTCAGTCACTCCTCTGCTTAGAATCGTCAGTGGCTCCCTTCTCACCTGCAGTCAGAGCCGTAGCCCTTACAATGACATCCTGCCCCTGCCCTCCTCTCCTCCTTGCTCATGCTGATCCAGCCTCCCAGGCCTCCCTGTTCACTGAACAAGCCTGAGACACTCCTGCCTCGGGGCCTTTGTACTTGCTGTTCCCTCTGTCTGGCTTTGTCCTCCCTGCACTAGATACCCACAGAGCTCACACCTCGGCCTCCTATAGGTCTCTGTTCATATGTGAACATGTCAGTGAGGCCCGACCAACCTCTCCAAAATTGCAACCCTGCTTCTTTTCCAGATTTCTCTATCTGCCTTATGGTGCTTTATTTTTTTCTCCCCATATTATATACTGTTTCTATTTCCTTTTTTTTTTTTTTTTTGAGACAGAGTCTTACTTTGTCACCCTCAGTAGAGTGCCATAGTGTCATAGCTCACAGCAACCTCAAACTCTTGGGCCCAAGTGGTCCTCTTGCCTGAGCTTCCCGAGTACCTGGGAATATGGGCGTCTACACCAATGCTCGGCTATTTTTAGTAGAGATGGGGTCTCACTCTTGCTCAGGATGATCTTGAACTCCTGAGATCAGGCAATCCACCCACCTCACCCCCCCCTAGTTTTTCTGTTTTTAGCAGAGATGGGATCTTGCTCTTGCTCAGGATGATCTTGAACTCCTGAGATCAGGCAATCCACCCACCTCACCCCCCCCCCCAAAGTGCTGGGAATAGAGGTGTGAACCACTGCACCTGGTCACTATTCCTTTTTTACTTTAATCATTTGTCCACCTACTAGAATATAAGCACCCGCAAGGGCAAATGCTCTTTTGGGCTCAGTGATGTGTCTTCAAGATTTTTAGAAAAATGCCTGGTTCATAGAAGGTTCTCAATAAATATGTATTGGGCAAATAGAGAAGACACTGGATATAGGGCACCTGGGTTCTAGAGTCCGGTCTGTTGCCAGCTGGCTTTACAACCAACTTCACAGATGAGGAAACAGGCTTGATAGGTTGTTACTTGCCTGGGGGCCACAGTTCGCACCTGGGCTCCTGGCCCTCATGGCCTGCCCCTTGACCAGGGGCTGGGTGAGACAGAGCATTAGCAGTGCTTCCTCCCAGGCCTCCCAGGCTTTTTGCTGAGGGGTCTGGGGTAGAGGTCAGGGTGGGGGCCACAGAATCAACATGCTTATCTGCTTGCAGAGGGGACTGGGCTCTTTCAGGTGGCCCACCAAAGGATCCTCCTGTAGCAGCCACCAGACCCAGGGCTTGCCAGCTCCCTCAGCCACTTGGATGTCTCTGGCCTGGCCAGGTGACTCCTTGATAGGGAAGAATCCCTCAACTTATCTCCCTGTGCAGAGCTGGACTGCAGGACCGAAGGGATCTGCTCCTTCCCCACGTTGCCACAGGCCCCCATCGATGGCAGGATTGCCAGTGAGTAGGAAGCTGTTTCTCTGGCAGGGTTTGGGTGGGAGATGTGTCAAGGCCAAGTCCCAGAGGGGTTGTGGGTGATAAGGACCAGGGTTGTTTTGACCTTGATAATGGGTTCAGGGGTTGACAGCCCTGTGTGCTGCCCACAGTCTGGCTACAGTGGATAGTGCTGCTGAGATCACCAAGCCTACCCTGTTTCCAGGGCATGGACAATTTACAGGTTCCCCAGTCATAGTCAGACACTCCGATTGGCATGGCGTAGCCCCCCTACCTTTTAAAATGTTATTTATTTTACAATGATTGAGCATTTATTTATGCCTGTCATGGTTCCAAGGCCTTTATTTAATCCCTCAAAAGCCCTTTAAGGTCAGTACTGTGACTAGCTCCATTTCACAGTAAGGAAACTGAGGCACAGAGAGGTTAAGTAACTTCCCCAACACACAGCACTGGTAGAGTTTTGGAGCTGGGCAGTCTGACTCCAAAGCCTGAGCTCTAACCAAGTGTTACACTTCCACTTTGCATTTATTATTAAAGGATTGCTTAACAGACGGACAAGCAGATAGAGTGACTCATGAGCTACCCAACTTTTCTGAAAGATGTTTTCTAGCCATGGTGGGGCCACCACAGAGAGGTAGGAGTCTGGCATCTGGGTTGAAAATTACTGGATGTCACTAAAAACACAATTATTGGCCCAACACACAAAAATGATGAATACTGTAGATGATGGATGCCCTAAAAACCCTGACTTGATCATTATACATTCTATGGATGTGACAAAGTATCACATATCCCCCACAAATATGTACAAATATTATGTATTAATAAAGATCACAATTATTGGCTCAGCACCTGTAGCTCAGCCACTAGGGCATCAGTCACATACACCAGAGCTGGCTGGTTCGAATCCAGCCCAGGCCTGCCAAACAACAATGACAACTACAACAAAAAAAAGACAGGCATTGTGGTGGGTGCCTATAGTCCCAGCTACTTGGGAGGCTGAGGCAAGAGAATTGCTTAAGCCCAAGAGTTTGAGGTTGCTGTGAGCTGTGATGCCACAGCACTCTACCCAGGGTGACAGCTTGAGACTCTGTCTCAAAAAACAAACACACAAAAGCACAATTATTGAACTTTTTTTTTTTTTTTTTGGAGACAGACCCTCAAGCTGTCGCCCTGGGTAGAGTGCTATGGCATTACAGCTCACAGCAACCTCCAACTCCTGAGCTCAAGCAACTCTCCTGCCTCTGCCTCCCAAGCAGCTAGGACTATAGGCACCTGCCACAATGGCTGGCTATTTTTTGGTTGCAGCCATTGTTGTTGTTTGGCGAGCCCAGGCTGGATTTGAACCTGCCAGGTCAGGTATATGTGGCTGGTGCCTTAGCCACTTGAGCCATAGGCACTGAGCCTATTGGATATATTTATTTATTTATTTGTTTATTTTAAAATTCTTTTTTTGGCCAGGGCTGGGTTTGAACCCACCACCTCTGGCATATGGGGCCAGCACCCTACTCCTTGAGCCACAGGTGCCACCCCATTGGACATTTTTAATTGTAATGCTTATCATTCTTGGTTTCAAGGTCTTTATTTAATTCTGTTCTAGAGCACTTACTCTATATCAAGCACTATGCTAAGGTTTTTTTTGTCTATCATGCTACCTAATCCTCACACTGCATCATACAGTGAAACTGTGGCTCAGAAGAGGTTGGGTAACGTGCCTAGAAGGGCTCAGCCACCAGGCCCAGGTACAGGTACTGAGATTTAAGATCACACCGTTGCTCCCAGGTCCCTCTGCCCACAAACCTTCCATAGTGCCATGTTGGTATTCTTAAGCCTCACCTTTAAGGGGCTTGAGAGGATGGGAGTTATAATTAATAGACTTCCAGGGCCCAAGTGACTGGGTCAGGGGAAGAGAAGGACCTGGGGTCTGAGGCCTGGCCATGAGCCCCCTACTTGCTCTCTGACAAAGGAGCCCTGGCTTTGGTGGGCTAGACTCTGTGCCCTGCCTGTCACTTAGGGGCTCGGCAACTTCAGACACATCTGGACCTCTCTGAGCCCATTTCCTCACCTTTTCCTGGGGATGAAGGTAGCCACTTCCTAGAGTTATGAAGCCTGAACGAGGCAATGAATAAGGAGATCCCATAAATGGCTATTTGTATTAATACCATCATCTTTACCACCTGCTGGTGTTCCCAGGGCCCTGGCCACCAGGTCCCCAAGAGCACCTTTCTAACCCCTGTCCTCATAGCTCCAGTAAGGCTGTCTGCACCCCCTGTGCTAAATTGCAGACTGCCGGCTACTGTGGGATTACGTGTATCAGCTGCTCCTTGACACCAGGTATGAGCCCTACATCAGGTGGGAAGACAAGGACGCCAAGATCTTTCGAGTTGTGGATCCAAATGGGCTTGCCAGACTCTGGGGAAACCACAAGGTGAACCTCAGCCAGCAGGAGAAATGGTCTCAACATATCCAAAAGAGGACAGAGCAGGGGGTCAGAGTAGACCCCTCAAAACTAGGGGACAGTCTTCAAATGATGGGGCCTCTTCCACCAGCCCCAGAAATGCCAGAAGATACTGAGGGATAGGCAATTATCACTTATGGGTGGAAAATGTTTCTGAAACTCAACAATTGTGCCTTCTAATTGATTAATCTTACTTTTTTTTTTTTTTTTTTTTT